GCAGGGGAAAGCAATCGGTTGATGGGTGCATCGAGTTGGATGGGGGGGGGGGGGGGGGGGGGGGGTGACAGTCCGCCCATAAATTACAAAAATCACATATGCCTTTAATGTATAAAGATATGTTTATTTCACTGGGAATAGGGAATGATGTGTTACATGAGTCAAGTCAGTCTCCACTGTCATGAGGTAGACTATATTAATACAAATTGTATCAATTTCCTCCCTGTCCATATCCCCCTGGTCATACGTAAACAATAGAACACAGTTTCTGTTGCATTTGGTAGTTAATGCATTGAAATGTTTAACATTTTTAAGCCACACCATTTAAACTGCTTTTTTGTTTTTTGTTTACAGCATTTAATAAAACGCATACGCAATTGCATGCACAGCAATGCACTATACAAAAACAATCAAAATGGTCCTTGTCTTCAGGGCAAATAATGGCAACATTATAAAACTCTGATTAAAAAAGGACATGCACTAATTTTAATGAAATGACATGTAGTACAAAGCTCAGTTCACAAAAGTCATAAGAAGCAGTATTTGTAGGTTTTAAAACCAGATATTACAACAGTACATCTATAATTACCTACTTATGACTTCTTTAGATGTCATACGTTACTGTTACTGGTTTTGTTTCTGTTTTTGGACAATTAATACATATTTTCATGTGGTACTCTAGAGGTATAGTATGTTACTTTCCAGTACCCCTAACATGGGACAAATACATTTCTTCACAACAAAACGTTTTTACATTTAGGAAACGATATCTCAGAACTATATACTGTGAAAGAATACAAAATGAAAATAGCTGGTTAGATGTTCATTCAATAGAGAAACTATTCTGAAATAATGTTAGGAAAAAAGTGCAAATCTTAGGGGATAAACACATTTTTATATTGAGAACTTAAAATGTATTTATTTCCTCAGGGGAAATGCTATGGTGTGAATACCTGCATATGAATAAACCTGCTACTGTAAAGCAACACTGGTAGTGGACTGAGATTCCTACAGAATACAGAGCATGTTAATGCACTTCATAAACTGGGTGCTTTGAGCCCTGAATGCTGATTGGCTGAAAGCCGTGGTATATCAGACCGTATACCACGGGTATGACAAAATATTTTTACTGTTCTAATTACATTGGTAACCAGTTGATAATAGCAATAAGGCACCTCGGGGGTTTGCGGTATATGGCCAATATACCATGGCTGTATCCAGGCACTCTGCGTTGCGTTGTGCAAAAGACTAGCCCTTAGCCGTGGTATATTGGCCATATACCACACCCCCTCGTGCCTTATTGCTTAAGTATAATACGTGCGGGATTTAAATAAATAAGGAGAAATACTGGACACTCAGAAAAGGACAACATGTCACAAGGCTTTGATTGTCATGAGGGCAAAATAAAGTGATGACCATAAAGTTGCCCATAACCACTCGGTGTCAGACTTTTTGGACCTCTCTAATAGTTAAGGTTAGAACTAGGTGCAGGATAATCTGATTATGTGGTTAAGGGACATTTTTACCTGGAGCCGTGGCCATGTGGCAATTGCACAAATAACATTTTCAAATCATAGATAATGGTCTAACCATATAATGAATGTGCATTTGCTTTAGGCAGAGACATAGAAACAAGTCTGTTATTAAACTCCCTCTGTAGGATCGATGACTCTACCCAGCAACAAACAATTGCAGTGAAATTAACAAGAATAATATCATACAAATGTATGAAATACATGAAATGGTACTGACCCTAACCTGAAACCAAGAGGACATTTGATGTTTTATCTGAAGCGGAGAGTACGTGTTATATTATCCTGAATGGAGTGGCTCAGTACCCAAATGGCTTGTCTGCCGTATACTCCGTAGATTAAGGATCCAGGTAAGATGCTAATAAATGGAGAATTAAGTCTTGTACCTGATTTAGAGGAATTGGACATATTTTCAACCACAACAAAGTTTTAGGGACAGACAGAACTTGAGGCATGGACGAGCATCATAACATATTCATACATTTAAAAAATGTTTCTTTTTACATTGTAAAAGATGGTGAAAGGTTCAAAGTACAGAAACAAAACTTTACACCAATTCATGTCTCAATTTACTCATGTAATGACATTTAGGCAACCGCAGCTCATTCTTAGTCTATGTCTGCTAAGTGATAAATACAGCTTATCAAGATTACAGGCAGAAGCAAGCGGTCACTGGATTGATATACTTGTTGGAAATTAATGTACAGTAACTAAGTCTTGTATAAGATAAAAGCATATTGAAAGGCTTGAGCTAAAAGGTCAACTTTACAGTACATTGGAGGAATTTTGCTGAAGTGCTAATGACAGAGAGAGAAGGTGACCGTGACATGTCAGCCATGGGGACTCCTGCCACTCTGGGGGTTAAGTGCTCACAGCCACGGAATCTGGACAAGAGACTCACAGTCCCATCATACATCTCTTCCAGAGAACATTCAAACCCTGGTCTTCATGGTTATAACGCATATTCACAAACATGGAGAGCGGACATTCTGAGAGCCACACGGTCCGAAAGGGATTCCTCAATGACTTTGCATCTTGTGAAGAATAGTTAAAAAACAACAAGCGTTTGCAGGATAATAGCCGGGGGTATTAGAGTAAGTGTGTTTTTTTGGCGTATGGGGTACAAGTCTGGAAATGGGCTGGAGAGGTTTGGCGGTGGGTAGGGTTGTTGGAGGGGAGTCACGCTGTGGGACCGGTGTTGTAGTCTGCGGTCTCCATCTTGAGGATGTAAGGGATGATGCTGTCGATGGGCACGTTGCCGATCAGGCCGGTGAAGAACAGCTCCTCGGTGATGCTGGAGGTCATCAGACGCAGCGCCGGGAGACGCATCAGGATACGCGTTAACCTGGGAAAACCAATCAGAGTAGAGGGTGATTTATGGATCCAATCAGAAAGAGACAGATTCACATATGAATTTATGGGACCAGTGGGGAGATTCTTAGGATATATCACGGTCCTGATAGGCTGACAGACACATGTACCTGTAGGTGTCATCTGGATAGGTCTTCTGCACATAGTCCTGCAGCTCCATCTGGGCTTTCTCCTGGAACTTCTCTATCTGGCTGCAACTGTTCAGGCCTGGATGGTCTGATTAGTGAGATACACACAATAGCCGTTTCCTAACAATACACTACAAGGTAAATAAGTTATCATGATGGTATGAACTTCTACTCAGAGTTGATTTACTGTACACATACCTGCACTATATATACACAACAGTATGTGGACCCTTCAAATGAGTGGATTCAACTATTTATGCCACCCCCGTTGGCGGATACCAGGACAACGCTGCCTGCCCCAATGCATAGTGCCAACTGAAAAGTTTGGTGGAGGAGGAATAATGGTATGGGGCTGTTTTTCATGGTTCGGGCTAGGCCCCTTCGTTCCAGTGAAGGGAAATCTTCATGCTACAGACGATTCTAGACAATTCTGTGCTTCCAACTTTGTGGCAACAGTTTGCGGAAGGCCCTTTCCTGTTTCAGCATGACAATGCCAAAGCGAGGTCCATACAGAAATGGTTTGTCGAGATCGGTGTGGAAGAACTTGACTGGCCTGCACAGAGCCTTGACCTCAACCCCACCGAACACCTCTGGAATGAATTAGAACGCCGACTCCGAGCCAGGCCTAATCGCCCAACATCAGTAGCCGACCTCACTACTGCTCGTGGCTGAATGGAAGCAGGGCCAGACGGATTACCAGGACGTGTACTCCGAGCATGTGCTGACCAACTGGCAAGTGTCTTCACTGACATTTTCAACATGTCCCTGACTGAGTCTGTAATACCAACATGTTTCAAGCAGACCACCATAGTCCCCGTGCCCAAGGACACTAAGATAACCTGCCTAAATGACTACCGACCCGTAGCACTGACGTCTGTAGCCATGAGGTGCTTTGAAAGGCTGGTCATGGCTCACATCAACACCATTATATCAGAAACCCTAGACCCACCCCAATTTGCATACTGCCCCAACAGATCCACAGATGATGCAATCTCTATTGCACTCCACACTGCCCTTTCCCACCTGGACAAATTCATTGACTATTCATTGACTATAGCTCAGCATTCAACACCATAGTGCCCTCAAAGCTCATCACTAAGCTAAGGATCCTGGGACTAAACACCTCCCTCTGCAACTGGATCCTGGACTTCCTGACGGCTCGCCCCCAGGTGGTAAGGGTAGGTAACAACACATCTGCCACACTGATCCTCAACATGGGGGCCCCTCAGGGGTGCGTGCTCAGTCCCCTCCTGTACTCCCTGTTCACCCATGACTGCATGGCCAGGCACGACTCCAACACAATCATTAAGTTTGCCGACGACACAACAGTGGTAGGCCTCATCACCGACAATGATGAGACAGTCTATAGGGAGGAGGTCAGAGACCTGGCCGTGTGGTGCCAGGATAACAACCTCTCCCTCAACGTGACCAAGACAAAGGAGATGATTGTGGAAATAAGAGCACTTCCTCCCAGCTGCCCACTGCACTGAGGCTAGGAAACACTATCACCACCGATAAATCTACAATAATCGAGAATTTCAACAAGCATTTTGCTACGGCTGGCCATGCTTTCCACCTGGCTACCACTACCCCGGCCACCAGCTCTGCACCCTCCGCTGCAACTTGCCCATGCCCCCCCCGCTTCTCCCTCACACAAATCCAGACAGCTGATGTTCTAAAAGAGCTGCAAAATCTGGACCCCTACAAATCATCTGGGCTAGACAATCTGGACCCTTTCTTTCTAAAACTAGCCGCGGAAATTGTCGCAACCCCTATTACTAGCCTGTTCAACCTCTCTTTCGTAACGTCTGAGATCCCCAGAGATTGGAAAGCTGCCGCGGTCATCCCCCTCTTCAAAGGGGGTGAAACTCTAGATCCAAACTGTTACAGACCCATATCCATCCTGCCCTGCCTTTCAAAAGTTTTTGAAAGCCAAGTCAACAAACAGATCACCGACCATTTCGAATCCCACCGTACCTTCTCCGCTATGCAATCCGGTTTCCGAGCTGGTCATGGGTGCACTTCAGCCACGCTCAAGGTCCTAAACGATATTATAACCGCGATCGATAATAGACAGTACTGTGCAGCCGTTTTCATTGACCTGGCCAAGGCTTTCAACTCTGTCAACCACCGCATTCTTATTGGCAGACTAAATAGCCTTGGTTTCTCAAATGACTGCCTCGCCTGGTTCACCAACTACTTCTCAGATAGAGTTCAACGTGTCAAATCGGAGGGCCTGTTGTCTGGACCTATGGCAGTCTCTATGGGGGTGCCACAGGGTTCAATTCTTGGGCCGACTCTTTTCTCTGTGTATATCAATGACGTCGCTCTTGCTGCTGGTGACTCTCAGATCCACCTCTACGCAGACGACACCATTTTGTATACATCTGGCCCTTCATTGGACACTGTGTTAACAAACCTCCAAACGAGCTTCAATTCCATACAACACTCCTTCAGTAGGCTCCAACTGCTCTTAAACACTAGTAAAACTAAATGCATGCTCTTCAACCGAACGCTGCTTGCACCCGCCCACCCGACTAGAATCACTACTCTCGACGGGTCTGACCTAGAGTATGTGGACAACTACAAATATCTAGTTGTCTGGTTAAACTGTAAACTCTCCTTCCAGACTCACATTAGGAATCTCCAATCCAAAGTTAAATCTAGAATCGGTTTCCTCTTTCGCAACAAAGCCTCCTTCACTCATGCTGCCAAACATGCCCTCGTAAAACTGACTATCCTACCGATCCTTGACTTCGGCGATGTCATTTACAAAATAGCCTCCAACACTCTACTCAGCAAATTGGATGTAGTCTATCACAGTGCCATCCGTTTTGTCTCCAAAGCCCCATATAATACCCACCACTGTGACCTGTACGCTCTTGTTGGCTGGTCCTCACTACATATTCGTCGCCAAACCCACTGGCTCCAGGCCATCTATAAATCACTGCTAGGCAAATCCCCGCCTTATCTTAGCTCATTGGTCACCATAGCAACACCCACCCGTAGTCTGCGCTCCAGCGGGTATATCTCACTGGTCATCCCCAAAGCCAACACCTCCTTTGGCCGCAATTCCTTCCAGTTCTCTGCTGCCAATGACTGGAACAAATTGCAAAAATCTCTGAAGCTGGAGACACTTATCTCCCTCACTAACTTTAAGCATCAGTTGTCAGAGCACCTTACCGATCACTGTACCTGTACACAGCCCATCTGAAATTAGCCCGCCCAACTACCTCATCCCTATATTGTTATTTATTTTGCTCATTTGTACCCCAGTATCTCTATTTGCACATCATCTCTTGCACATCTATCATTCCAGTGTTAATACTAATTGTAATTATTTTGCACTATAGCCTATTTTATTGCCTTACCTCCATAACTTGCTAAATTTGCACACACTGTATATTATATGTATTTCTGTTGTATTTTTGACTTTGTTTTGTTTTACCCCATATGTAACTCTCTGTTGTTGTTTTTATCGCACTGCTTTGCTTTATCTTGGCCAGGTCGCAGTTGTAAATGAGAACTTGTTCTCAACTGGTTTACCTGGTTAAATAAAGGTGAAATAAAAAAAATAAAAAATAAAAAAGTGGACTACAGGAAAAAAAGAGGACTGAGCACGGCCCCATTCTCATCGACGGGGCTGTAGTGGAACAGGTTGAGAGCTTCAAGTTCCTTGGTGTCCACATCACCAACGAACTATCATGGTCCAAACACACCAAGACAGTCGTGAAGAGGGCACGACAAAGCCTATTCCCCCTCAGGATACTGAAAAGATTTGGCATGGGTCCTCAGATCCTCAAAATATTCTACAGCTGCACCATCGAGAGCATCCTGACTGGTTGCATCAACGCCTGGTATGGCAACTGCTTGGCCTCCGACCGCAAGGCACTACAGAGGGTAGTGCGTACGGCCCAGTACATCACTGGGGCCAAGCTTCCTGCCATCCAGGACCTCTATACCAGGTGGTGTCAGAGGAAGGCCCTCAAAATTGTCAAAGACTCCAGCCACCCCAGTAATAGACTGTTCTCTCTGCTACCGCACGGCAAGCGGTACCGGAGTGCCAAGTCTAGGTCCAAAAGAGTTCTCAACAGCTTCTACCCCCAAGCCATAAGACTCCTGAACAGCTAATCATGGCTACCCGGACCATTTGCACTGCCCCCCCACCCCCACCCCCCACCCCCATCTTTTTACGCTGCTGCTACTCTGTTAATCATTTATGCATAGTCACTTTAACTCTACCACATGTACATATTACTTCAACTACCTCAACTAGCCGGTGCCCCCGAACATTGACTCTGCACCGGTACCCCCCCGTATATATAGCCTCCCTACTGTTATTTTATTTAACTTCTGCTCTTTTTTTCTCAACACTTTGTTGTTGTTTTATTTTACTTTTTTATTAAAAATAAATGCACTGTTGGTTAAGGGCTGTAAGTAAGCATTTCACTGTAATGTCTGCACCTTTTGTATTCGGCGCATGTGGCCAATAAAATTTGATTTGATTTGAAGTCCCCGCAGCTATGTTCCAACATCTAGTGGAAAGCCTTCCCAGAAGAGTGGAGGCTGTTATAGCAGCAAAGGGGGGAACCAACTCCATATTAATGTCCATTATTTGGAATGAGATGTTCGACAAGCAGGTGTCCACATACTTTTGGTCATGTAGTGTATTCGGAAAGTATTTTCCACATTTGTTACGTTACAGCCTTATTCTAAAACGGATTTTTAAAAATACATCCTTAGCAATCTACACACAATACCCCATAATGACAAAGTGAAAACAGGTTTTTAGAAATTTTAGCAAATGTATTACAAATAAAAAACTGAAATACCTTATTTACATAAGTATTCAGACCCTTTGCTATGAGATTCGAAATTGAGCTCAGGTGCATCCTGTTTCCATTGATCATCCTTGAGATGTTTCTACAACTTGATTGGAGTCCACCTGTGGTAAATTCAATTGATTGGACAAGGATTTGGAAAGGAACACACCTGTCTATACAAGGTCCCACAGTTGACAGTGCAAAAACCAAGCCATGAGGTCGAAGGAATTGTCTGTAGAGCTCAGAGAGCATTGTGTCGAGGCACAGATCTGGGGAAGGGTACCAAAAAATGTCTGCAGCATTGAAGGTCCCCAAGAACACAGTGGCCTCCATCACTCTTAAATGGAAGAAGTTTGGAACTCCAAGACTCTTCCTAGAGCTGGCTGCCCGGCCAAACTGAGCAATTGGGGGAGAAGGGCTTTGGTCAGGGAGGTGACCAAGAACCCAATGGTCACTCTGACAGAGCTCTAGAGTTCCTCTGTGGAGATGGGAGAACCTTCCAGAAGGACAACCATCTCTGCAGCACTCCACCAATCAGGCCTTTATGGTAGTGGCCAGACGGAAGCCACTCCTCAGTAAAAGGCACGACAGCCCGCTTGGAGTTCGCCAAAAGGCACCTAATGACTCTCAGACCATGAGAAACAAGATTCTCTGGTCTGATGAAACCAAGATTGAACTCTTTGGCCTGAATGCCAAGTGTCACGTCTGGAGGAAACCTGGAACCATCCCTACGGTGAAACATGGTGGTGGCAGCATCATGCTGTGGGGATGTTCTTCAGCGGCAGGGACTGGGAGACTAGTCAGGATCGAGGCAAAGCTGAACGGAGCAAAGTACAGAGAGATCCTTGATGAAAACCTGCTCCAGAGCGCTCAGGACAACGACCCTAAGCATACAGCCAAGACAACGCAGGAGTGGCTTCGGGACAAGTCTCTGAATGTCCTTGAGTGGCCCAGTCAGAGCCTGGACTTGAACCCGATCGAACATCTCTGGAGAGACCTGAAAATAGCTGTGCAGCAACGCTCCCCATCCAACCTGACAGAGCTTGAGAGGATCTGCAGAGAAGAATGGGAGAAACTCCCCAAATACAGGTGTGCCAAGCTTGTAGTGTCATACCCAAGAAGAATCTATGCTGTAAGGTGCTTCAACAAAGTACTGAGTAAAGGGTCTGAATACTTATGTAAATGTAATATTTCAGTTTTCTATTTTTAAATTAGAAAAAAATGTCTAAAAACCTGTTTTTGCTTTTTCATTATGGGGTATTGTGTGTAGACAGATGAGGAAAAAAAACAATTTAAGCAATTTTAGAATAAGGCTGTAACGTAACAAAATGTGGAAAAAGTCAAGTGGTCTGAATACTTTCCGAAGTCACTGTATATCTCAAAGAGAATTTATCTGAGTAAATTGACTCGACTGAGTATGATGTTGTTCTCAAAACTAGGGCCCTTGTATGTTCCTGACGACGTGACCTCACCAGGAAAAACTTGGGGGCCTAGTCATAGCCTATGACTTATGATGTATTTCTAACATAATGTACGATGTTAATGGGACCATGCTCACCAGGGCTAAAGAGGACTATGGCCTTCAGGTAGGCGTACTCATAGCTGTCTGTCTCCATCTTAACCATGCTGTTACAGAACTCCTGCAGCTTCCAGATGTGTTCCATCACCAGCTTCACTCTCTCCCCAGACACCTTATCTACAGGGGAACAGCAGACAAAAGTTTACAACATCAAATATTTACCAACAAAGAACTTAGAATGTGTTTTGTGGGGAGTTTGAGCCTTGCATCCATATCTTCTATATATGCGTGTCTGATTGTATGTGTGTTTTGTGAATCTGGTGTGTTCGTTGTGTTGTATGGAGATCTGGTTTGATGTCGTACCGTCCTGAATGCTGTTCTGGAGATGGTTGATGATGGCTTCCAGGATGGTGGAGAGACTCATGATCTGGGCACATTGAGCCAGCCCCAGAGTGAACAGCTCATTCCAACAGGCACGCACCAGGCTGGTGTTACTCTCCTGACTGAGAGAGACACACTCAGTTACAGCACTGAATCGAGATACATGGGTAGAAAGATACACGGATGACACGCACACACTTACAGGTCAAGTCACACACACACACCCACCAAAAGCGTAATAAAATGTTGTTAAGAGTGTTCTCACCCGAGAGTGGAGAATGCAGGGATGGAGCGTGCCCAGTGCATGGAAAGGAAGAGGAGGCGGGACGCTGACTCACAGATGTAGTGCACATTTAGATACTCTGGCATGGGGCTGGGCATAGTCAGCTATAGGAGGGACAGGGAGGGACCGAGATAGAGATGTCAGGTTATTGAAAACACAAAAATAAATGGCTGAATGCCAGCAGAATGTGAATACATATAAAACATCAGAGTTCAAAGTTCAGAACCCCCACCTTGAAGCTGACATGTGTGTCTGTGAGCAGTGGGCCCTCCACCTCGATGAGGGGGGTCACCTGGTCTCGGCTGATAACCTGGATGGTGGCTCCGCCCACATACTCCCCCCCCTCTGCCAGGTTCTGCCCCGCCCCCGTCTCGGACGGGTTTAGGGCTTTGGCCAGGGTATCGAAGGCACTGAAGACACATACACTACCGCTCAAACGAAATTCCCTTGTTTTCGAAAGAAAAGCAATTTTTTGGTCCATTAAAATATTTATCAGAAATACAGTGTAGACATTGTTAATGTTGTAAATGGCTATTGTAGTTGGAAATGGCTGATTTTTAATGGAATATCTACATAGGCCCATTATCAGCATCATCAGTCCTGTGTTCCAATGGCACATTGTGTTTGCTAATCCAAGTTTATCATTTTAAAAGGCTAATTGATCATTAGAAAACCCTTTTGCAATTATGTTAGCACAGCTGAAAACTGTTGTGCTGATTAAAGAAGCAATAAAACTGACTTTCTTGAGACTAGTTGAGTATCTGGAGCATCAGCAATTGTGGGTTCGATTACAGGCTCAAAATGGCCAGAAAAAAATAACTTTATTCTGAAACTCGTCAGTCTATTCTTGTTCTGAGAAATGAAGGCTATTCCATGCGAGAAATTGCCAAGAAACTGAAGATCTCGTACAACGCTGTGTACTACTCCCTTCACAGAACAGCGCAAACTGGCTCTAACCAGAATAGAAAGAGGAGTGGGAGGCCCCGGTGCACAACTGAGGAAGAGGACAAATACATTAGAGTGTCTAGTTTGAGAAACAGATGCCTCACAGGTCCTCAAGTGGCAGCTTCATTAAATAGTACCCGCAAAACACCAATCTCAACGTCAAAGGTGAAGATGCAACTCCGGGATGCTGACCTAGGCAGAGTTGCAAAGAAAAGGTCCAGTGTCTGTGTTCTTTTGCCCATCTTAATCTTTTCGTTTTTATTGGCCAGTCTGAGATATGGCTTTTTCTTTGCAACTCTGCCTAGAAGGTCAGCATCCCAGAGTCGCCTCTTCACTGTTGACGTTGAGACTGGTGTTTTGCGGGTACTATTTAATGAAGCTGCCAGTTGAGGACCTGTGAGGTGTCTGTTTCTCAAACTGGTTAGAGCCAGTTTGCGCTGTTCTGTGAAGGGAGTAGTACACAGCGTTGTACGAGATCTTCAGTTTCTTGGCAATTTCTCGCATGGAATAGCCTTCATTTCTCAGAACAAGAATAGACTGACGAGTTTCAGAAGAAAGTTATTTGTTTCTGGCCATTTTGAGCCTGTAATTGAACCCACAATTGCTGATGCTCCAGATACTCAACTAGTCTCAAGAAGGCCAGTTTTATTGCTTCTTTAATCAGCACAACAGTTTTCAGCTGTGCTAACATAATTGCAAAAGGGTTTTCTAATGATCAATTAGCCTTTTAAAATGATAAACTTGGATTAGCAAACACAACGTGCCATTGGAACACAGGACTGATGGTTACTGATAATGGGCCTCTGTACGGCTATGTAGATATTCCATTTATTTGTTTATCAGCCATTTCCAGCTACAATAGCCATTTACAACATTAACAATGTCTACACTGTATTTCTGATCAATTTGATGTTATTTTAATGGACAGAAAAATTGCTTTCCTTTCGAAAACAAGGACATTTCTAAGTGACCCCAATCTTCTGAATGGTAGTGTACATAATACAGGAGCAATTACACACACACACACACACACTGCATACATACCGTGTTATCTTGCTAGCAGACTGCTCCTCCTGCTGGTCGTCTGAGGTATCATCGTTATTCAGGGACTCACTGAGGGAGTCGTTCAGGTTGGCCATACACGTCACTACACTGGCCAGCGTCCCCAAGTCTCCCTGCCCCGACTCAAAGTGGAGAGGTGGACACAACCATTGAGCCAGTGATGAGAACAACACACTGATTCCAATGACCAGTCTCTTTCATAGCATATTAGGAAAGGCATTACACTGAGAGAATGTTGAGGAATAACTGAGTTTGTACCTTGGTGTCTGTGGCCAGCAGTAGTGTTCCGTCAGCCTGGATCAGAGGCTGCTGGATGTTCACCAGCATCCCTGGGTCTAGCAGACTAGACCTGCACACAACACCAGTCAGAGGCAAAAGGACCAATTAGAGCCCAGAGACTAACCCAGAGCACCAATCAGAGCAGATAGTCTAACCCACGGGCCCAATCAAATCACATGATCAAGTAAGGAGGCAAAGTAGTAATCTCAGTCTCTGACCTGGAGCCATCAGTGATGAAGGCTGGCGTGGCGATGAGTGGGCTCATCAGGTTCTTCCTGATGTAGATCTTCTCTGTGGACGCAGCACAGTTAGCAGGCCTCTCTCTGGGCAGGTCAATGGGCTTCCTCTCACTCTGCACGGCTGAGGACACAGGACATAAACACCATCAAAAACACTATTACCCCACAGGTACTCAGAAATGACTTGGTAACTCGAAAATTACTTTGTGAGCAGACATTACTTAGGTGGGATGTTAGACAGAGTTTCTGGTGTTGGAATGGGGAATGAAATTCCAACCACCTTCATGTGCGTGCGTTCGTGTGACTCACACTCCATCTTCATGCCCATGTCCAGGCATTTCCTCAGCCGACAGAACTGACAGCGGTTGCGATGGTGCTTGTTGACAACACAGTCCTGGTTGCTACGGCAACTGTAGGTCAGGTTCTTCCTCACACTCCTCTTGAAGAAGCCTTTACAGCCTTCACAGCTGACAGCCCCATAGTGACGCCCTGGCCACAGAACAGAGAGGGAGGTTAATAGGTATGAATGGGACAATGGCCTGTGTGTGTGTGTGTGTTTGTACCTGAAGCCTTGTCTCCACACACCACACAAAACTCCACAGGTTGAGGCCGGTCCACATCCCCAGCTATCCCCAGTAACCGATCCACCGACGCGGCATCTGTTACAATCTGGAACACCAGGAGGAGTAGAGGTCACTGAGAGGTCACTGTGGGGTCAAAAGTCACACAGTGTGTCATCTGATGCTGTGGTTTAGATTTGTGATGTAGTGAGGTCTATATTTGTATCTGGCTGTGGTTTAGATTTGTGGTGTTAAGGTGTATTCCATACCTGTATTCGACTATGTTTTAGAATGGTGACGTTATGTCTTTCTCCGTACCTGTATCCTGCCGGGTAGCTGTGCTGTGGTGAAGATGAGCTGCTTGGTGCCCTGGTTCTCTGGGGACATCAGGATGACTTTACCCGTTCCAGAGCCATCAGCCGCCGCCAGCATGAACTGCTGCTTGGGCCCGCTGGAGGGATCCATGGTCGTGATGATCTGGATCTTCTGACCCGTCTGCTGGTCCGTTACAATCTGAGAGGGAGAGAGGGAGGGGGAGACCGAGAGAGAGAGAGAACGAGAGCGAGAGATCATAATCCCACATCCATCCAAACAACTGCTATCCTTTAAATGTAAAGGGATAGTTTGTGGATTTTTGCAGAGTTAGATGAACTCGTGGATACCATTTTTATGTATCTGCATCCAGTATGAAGGAAATTTGAGGTAGTTTCGCGAGCCAATTCTAACTAGTGTTAGCGCAATGACTGGAGGTCTACAGGAACAGCTAGTCTGTCATTGCGCTTACGCTAGTTAGCAACTTCCTTCTAACTGCATGCAGATACATAAAAATGGTATCCACAAATTAATCTGACTCTGGGGAAGGTAATAAAGGGACTCATTGCCAAAATCCCGAACTCTCTTAAGCACTTATAACTTTTTAAGCCGTATTCAAATAGTATTAGTGAGATTTGGAATCTGTGTACATTATAAGTTGTCACTAGGGTGCAGTGTGTGTATGCTATCAATAAGTGGCTTCAAGCAGAAGCGTACATGTCACTAATGTGGGATACTGTTACCTGTATGCGCTGCTGTGTGGCTGAGGGCTCAGTTGAGATGATCTGGAAACGCTGTGGAGAGCCACTCATCACTGACTAGTCAGCGGGAGAGGCCTGCACCTGAAACACACAATACAAACACATTAACAGTCAAATCATACAAATGATGTGCAACAAAGCACACACACACACACACGTACGCACACACACAGACACAGTACATCCGTGAGCAGCAGGGAAGCCAGCAGCTAGACAGAGGAGGAGGGGCTTGACTGTGCCCTCAGTGACACTTCTCCTCTGAAGGTTAAGAGTGGCCTCTGTCTCCACGGCAACCAAGGAGACAGAATCGCCCGGCCACACAGAGCAGCAGTGTATCACCTTTGTCTCACAAAGTGAATCATCTTTGAACGGGAATCGTGGGATGGGTCAGGGACAGGGTCAGGGTGCTCTTTCACATACACAGCACAGACACAGTCACACACAGAAAACCAACATGCAAGCACAAGTAGTCACTTTACCCCTACCTACATGTACAAATTGCCTCGACTAACCTGTACCCCCGCACATTGACTCGGTACCGGTACCGCCTCTATATAGCCTCGTTATTTAATTGTGTTACTTTTATTCATTTTTTAACTTTAGTTTATTTACTAAATATTTTCTTAACTCTGTTTTCTTAAAACTGCATTGTTGGTTATGGGCTTGTAAGTAAGCATTTCACGGTAAGGTCCACACCTGTTGTATTCGGCGCATGTGACAAATACAATTTTATTTGAATTTACTTACACTACCGGTCAAAGGTTTTAGAACACCTACTCATTCAATGGTTTTTCTTTATTTTTACTATTTTCTACATTGTAGAATAATAGTGAAGACATCAAAACTATGAAATAATACATATCATGGAATCATGTAGTGTTAAACAAATCAAAATATATTTTAGATTTTAGATTCTTCAAATAGCCACCCTTTGCCTTGATGACAGCTCTTGGCATTCTCTCAACCAGCTTCACCTGGAATGCTTTTCCAACAGTCTTGAAGGAGTTCCCACATATGCTGAGCACTTGTTGGCTGCTTTTCCGTCACTCTGCGGTCCGACTCATCCCAAACCATCTCAATTGGGTTGAGGTCGAAGGATTGTGGAGGCCAGGTCATCTGATGCTGCGCCATCACTCTCGTTCTTGGTCAAATAGCCCTTACACAGCCTGGAGGTGTGTTGGGTCATTGTCCTGTTGAAAAACAAATGATAGTCCCACTAAGCCCAAACCAGATGGGATGGCGTATCGCTTTAGAATAAAATATATTTTGATTTGTTTAACACTTTGTTGGTTACTACATGATTCCATGTGTGTTATTTCATAGTTTTGATATCTTCACTATTATTCTACAGTAAAGAAAAACCCTTGAATGAGTAGGTGTTCTAAAACTTTTGACCGGTAGTGTATGTATAGTACACAAACACATCCTCTCCCCTAATAACAAAACAACCATACACACACACCACTCACCTCTGCCACCTGCTCAGGGGCCACTATCAGCTGAGCAAGCACCTCCACGTTGGTCGTCATGGTGATGTAAGGTCATTAGTCTGGAGCGAGGCCAAATACGTCTGTCAACCGTAGAAGCAGGGATGTGCCACCTCTTATATCAGTAGGCAGGGTCACGTTCAATAAGAACAAAGCTGAGGAAATGTTTTGAAAGAGAAAACAAACGTGAGCATTGTCATTGACCAAGTTCAGGTAGTGCTTCGTACATTTGTACATCATTTACATCGTAACAAGAGTGTGCGGCTACAGCCACAAAATATAACAACTGTAAGGCGAACAACTACTTGGGCAAATTTTTTTTGAAATAATGTTGTTTCCACTCATTTTAACCCCAAAAATCTATGTGATGAGGTTGTATCAACATGGAAAACTAATTGGATTTGCAAAAAGTAATCAGCGTGATATGTGATCATCTCTTCGCATACAAAGCCCTCTCGTTCAGAGATGACCTCTGTCTCTGACAGAGGACATGTACTGTGTGTCTGGGGACAATCCTTCCGGGGAAGGCGTCTTGTTTAGTGATTCAACCAGTGGGGCTGGCGGGAGGAGCTATAGGATGATGGCCTCATTGTAATTGCTGGAATGGATTAAATTGAACGGTATCAAACACATCAAACATATGGAAACCACATTTTTGACTAGGATTCATTCATTCCATTTCAGCCATTACAATGAGCACGTCCTCCTATATCTCCTGCACCAGCCTCCACTGGATTTGACTAAGTAGTGGACGGCATAAGGATGTAAGTGTTCGCATCAAAAAGGCTTAAGTTACACCTCAGACAGTACACCTCACACTTTCCAGTTCTGGATTTTACCAATGATATCTGTTTCAGAGAGCGAGAGAGTCTGTAACTTTCTTTCTGTCTGTCTCTCTGTGTGTGAGTCACATTCAAGGAAGAAAAGGCTTTGGTCGCGATGCCTGTGCAGACGTTGCATGCATCAACCAATGGTTGCGTGACACGTCATCAACTGTGCAGTCGGGCACTACAGAGATATTAGAAAAAAAGGAGGAGAAAGAATCCCATTGGGCAATGAATGGAGGAACGTGTAACCCCCCCCCCCCAACACAGCAGACTGTCGACCAATCGTGTTCACGATGTCATACTGCGTCACACGGTTGCTAAGCTAATCGTCGCGCAATCCCTTTCAAAATCAGGGGGCTCGTTTGAGTGGTAAGCCTGAAGCACCTAACTGTAAATGAAAATGAGAGGAGTGAAGTCGGGGGAAGTGCATCTGTGACAGGCCGAAAGTCAAACACTATGTGGTTTTCCAACAGCAAGGCTCAGACAGAGAGGAGAGAGGCGAGAGGTACAGCGTGTGTGCCAGTCCGGTCGGCCTGTTCCTGATCCCCAGTAGGGCCAGTGGTGTTGTTCCGAGGTCCGCTGTTCTGTCGCACCATTGGTGCGCGTCGGTCAGCCCGGTCCGGCCCATTCCTGCTCCCCGCACCAAGTCAGTGGTGCGTTTCGTCAGCCCGGCTCGGCCCGCTCCTGCTCCCCACACCAAGCCAGTGGTGTGCGTCGTCAGTCCGGCACGGCCCGTGCCTGTTCCCCGCACCAAGTCAGGGGTGCGCTTCGACAGCCCGGCTCGGCCCACTCCTGCTCCCCACACCAAGCCAGTGGTGTGCGTCGTCAGTCCGGCACGGCCCGTGCCTGTTCCACCGGTGGCTGGTCCGGCACCGGTCAGAGGCTTCACGTCGGAGCTAGAGCAATCCGCTCCACCAGTGTTCAGTCCAGCTCCGGCCAGCAGGGCCAGACCGGACCAGGGGTACTTTGGGGGGTTAGAGAAGGAGTGGGGGTCAAGCCCGGAGCCAGAACCGCCGCCGAGGAGGTATGCCCACCCAGCCCTCCCCTGTTTTGCTCTTTTTGAGGCGCGGTCGCAGTCCGCGCCTTTAGGGGGGGGTACTGTCACACCCTGGCAATGGGACTCTAGTTGTTGAGCCAGGGTGTGTTTGTTCTATGTGGTGTGTTTCTATGTTGGGGGTTCTGGTTTGTTGTTTTCTATGTTTGCCTTAGTGACTCCCAATCAGAGGCAACGAGTGTCAGCTGTTCGTTGGTTGTCTCTGATTGGGAGCCATATTTAAACAGTCTGTTTTTCATTCGGGTTTGTGGGATTTTGTTCCGTTAAGGTTTGTGTTGTGTATAACTTCAGGACGTCACGCATCGTTGTTTATTGTTTTTGTGTCGTGTTCAGTACAAATAAAGTATGTACGCTTATTACGCTGTGCCTTGGTCCTCCTCTCTCGTAGACGATCGTGACAGTAGTGTTAAACAAATCAAAATATATTTTAGATTTTTCAAATAGCCACCCTTTGCCTTGATGACAGCTTTGCACACTCTTGGCATTCTCTCAACCAGCTTCACCTGGAATGCTTTTCCAACAGTCTTGAAGGAGTTCCCACATATGCTGAGCACTTGTTGGCTGCTTTTCCGTCACTCTGCGGTCCGACTCATCCCAAACCATCTCAATTGGGTTGAGGTCGAAGGATTGTGGAGGCCAGGTCATCTGAGGCTGCGCCATCACTCTCGTTCTTGGTCAAATAGCCCTTACACAGCCTGGAGGTGTGTTGGGTCATTGTCCTGTTGAAAAACAAATGATAGTCCCACTAAGCCCAAACCAGATGGGATGGCGTATCGCTTTAGAATAAAATATATTTTGATTTGTTTAACACTTTGTTGGTTACTACATGATTCCATGTGTGTTATTTCATAGTTTTGATATCTTCACTATTATTCTACAGTAAAGAAAAACCCTTGAATGAGTAGGTGTTCTAAAACTTTTGACCGGTAGTGTATGTATAGTACACAAACACATCCTCTCCCCTAATAACAAAACAACCATACACACACACACACACACACACACACACACACCACTCACCTCTGCCACCTGCTCAGGGGCCACTATCTGCTGAGCAAGCACCTCCACGTTGGTCGTCATGGTGATGTAAGGTCATTAGTCTGGAGCGAGGCCAAATACGTCTGTCAACCGTAGAAGCAGGGATGTGCCACCTCTTATATCAGTAGGCAGGGTCACGTTCAATAAGAACAAAGCTGAGGAAATGTTTTGAAAGAGAAAACAAACGTGAGCATTGTCATTGACCAAGTTCAGGTAGTGCTTCGTACATAATTTACATCGTAACAAGAGTGTGCGGCTACAGCCACAAAATATAACAACTGTAAGGCGAACAACTACCTGGGCAAAAAACAGTTGAAATAATGTTGTTTCCACTCATTTCAACCCCAAAAATCTATGTGATGAGGTTGTATCAACATGGAAAACTAATTGGATTTGCAAAAAGTCATCAGCGTGATATGTGATCATCTCTTCGCATACAAAGCCCTCTCGTTCAGAGATGACCTCTGTCCTCTGACAGAGGACATGTACTGTGTGTCTGGGGACAATCCTTCCGGGGGAAGGCGTCTTGTTTAGTGATTCAACCAGTGGTGGCTGGCGGGAGGAGCTATAGGATGATGGCCTCATTGTAATTGCTGGAATGGATTAAATTGAACGGTATCAAACACATCAAACATATGGAAACCACATTTTTGACTAGGATTCATTCATTCCATTTCAGCCATTACAATGAGCACGTCCTCCTATATCTCCTGCCACCAGCCTCCACTGGATTTGACTAAGTAGTGGACGGCATAAGGATGTAAGTGTTCGCATCAAAAAGGCTTAAGTTACACCTCAGACAGTACACCTCACACTTTCCAGTTCTGGATTTTACCAATGATATCTGTTTCAGAGAGCGAGAGAGTCTGTAACTTTCTTTCTGTCTGTCTCTCTGTGTGTGAGTCACATTCAAGGAAGAAAAGGCTTTGGTCGCGATGCCCTGTGCAGACGTTGCATGCATCAACCAATGGTTGCGTGACACGTCATCAACTGTGCAGTCGGGCACTACAGAGATATTAGAAAAAAGGAGGAGAAAGGAATCCCATTGGGCAATGAATGGAGGAACGTGTAACCCCCCCCCCCCAACACAGCAGACTGTCGACCAATCGTGTTCACGATGTCATACTGCGTCACACGGTTGCTAAGCTAATCGTCGCGCAATCCCTTTTCAAAATCAGGGGGCTCGTTTGAGTGGTAAGCCTGAAGCAACTAACTGTAAATGAAAAATGAGAGGAGTGAAGTCGGGGGAAGTGCATCTGTGACAGCCGAAAGTCAAACACTAATGTGGTTTTCCAACAGCAAGGCTCAGACAGAGAGGAAGAAAGAGGCCCAACTCGGAGGAAAATCTGTCTCCCTCCAGCAGGTGGCGTTTTTTCGTTGTTTCGCCCACCAAGCAAGGGGTTTTTGTATTTGCCTAATTCGGTCAACCAAAAAAAAAAAAGGCTTATTCGCTACATGAGGTTTATTTGATCTAATAGAAGTTACTTAATGCTTAAGTTGTTACGAGTGTACCGCTATAAGTAGGACGACACATCGAGAAATTTCGAGAAAAAACACTTTATATCGGAGTTGTCACTTTATATCGGAGTTGTCAGTATATCCATAATATTTTGCACAGATAAACATGGCAGGGTTGTTATTGATTATAGCCTAAAAGTTATTCTTTATAATGCTGAAATAAACATGCCTCCAACCCCCATATCCCATGTAAAATAAATTAGTGAGCAAGGGTCCATTCTTGCGAACATAAGCAACCATTTACATGGGCCCAGTCCAGTACTGTTCCCAGTCCAGTACGGCCCATACCTGCTCCCCGCACCAGGCCAGTGGTGCGTGTTCCCAGTCCGGCACGGCCCGTGCCCGTTCCACCGGCACCGGTCAGCGGCTCCACTCCGGAGCCAGAGCAGTCCGCTCCACCGGTGCCCAATCCAGCCCCGGTCAGCGGATCCATTCCGGAGCCAGAGCAGTCCGCTCCACCGGTTTCTAGTCCAGCTCCGGTCAGCGGCTCCACTCCGGAGCCAGAGCAGTCCACTCCACCGGTGCCCAATTCAGCCCCGGTCAGCGGATCCATTCCGGAGCCAGAATAGTCCGCTCCACCGGTTTCCAGTCCAGCTCCGGTCAGCGGCTCCACTCCGGAGCCAGAGCAGTCCGCTCCACTGGGGTCAAGTTCAGCTCCGGTCAGCGGCTCCACTTCAGACCCAGAAGTCAGCCACACTCCAGGGTCGGGGCCTCCCACACCAGGGTCCAGACAGGGCTTGGTGCATCGCGGGAGGATTGCCGATCCAGGCCCAGACGTCAGCCCCTCTCCAGATTTGAGGTCTTCCACACCAGGGTCCAGACAGGGCTTGGTGCATCATGGGAGGAAGGAGAGGGGAAGCATCGCGTCGAGGTCCAGACCAGACCAGGGGCGCAACGGGGAGGCTGAGAGGAAGAGGTCGTCACGCCCGGAGCCGGATCCGCCTCCGAGGCGGAATGCCCACCCGGACCCTACCCTGTTATGTCAGGTTTGTGCGGTCGGAGTCCGCACCTTTGGGGGAGGGTACTGTCACGCCCTGACGTATGGAACTCTTGTATGTTGAGTCAAGGTGTGGAAATCTATGTGATGTATTCTATGTTTAGGATCTAGGTATTGTGTTTCTATGTTTGGCCGGGTGTGATTCCCAATCAGAGACAGCTGTCGCTCATTGTCTCTGATTGGGGATCATACTTAAGTAGCCTGTTTGCCTACCTTTGTTGTGGGATCTTGTTCCTGTGTTAGGCTTGTATTGTGTTAAGCCTTGGACTTTACGTTGGTTTGGTTTTGTGTTTATAAATAATAAACATGTTCACATCGCACGCTGCACCTTGGTCTGACCCGTCTCTCAACGATCGTGACACTGATCAGGCCTAACACTGTTGTGTCGTCGGCAAACTTAATGATGGTGTTGGAGTCGTGCCTGGCCATGCAGTCATGGGTGAACAGGGAGTACAGGAGGGGACTGAGCATGCACCCCTGGGGGGCCCCCGTGTTGAAGATCAATTGCAGAGGGAGGTGTTTAATCCCAGGGTCCTTAGCTTAGTGATGAGCTTTGAGGGCACTATGGTGTTGAACGCTGAGCTGTAGTCAATGAATAGCATTCTCACGTAGGTGTTCCTCTTGTCCAGGTGGGAAAGGGCAGTGTGGAGTGCAATAGAGATTGCATCATCTGTGGATCTGTTGGGGCAGTATGCAAATTGGAGTGGGTCTAGGGTTTCTGGGATAATGGTGTTGATGTGAGCCATGACCAGCCTTTCAAAGCACTTTATGGCTACAGACGTGAGTGCTACGGGTCGGTAGTCATTTAGGCAGGGGACTATGGTGGTCTGCTTGAACAGGGACTATGGTGGTCTGCTTGAAACATGTTGGTATTACAGACTCAGTCAGGGACATGTTGAAAATGTCAGTGAAGACACTTGCCAGTTGGTCAGCGCATGCTCGGAGTACACGTCCTGGTAATCTGTCTGGCCCTGCGGCCTTGTGAATGTTGACCTGCTTAAAGGTCTTACTCGCATCGGCTACGGAGAGTGTGATCACATAGTCATCCGGAACAGCTGATGCTCTCATGCATGCTTCAGTGTTGCTTGCCTCGAAGCGAGCATAGAAGTGATTTAGCTCGTCTGGTAGGCTTGTGTCACTTAACAGCTCGCAGCTCTGCTTCCCTTTGTAGTCTGTAATAGTTTTCAAGCCCTGCCACATCCGAAGAGCATCAGAGCTGGTGTAGTACGATTCAATCTTAGTGCTGTATTGACACTTTGCCTGTTTGATGGTTCGTCGGAGGGCATAGCGGGATTTCTTATAAGCGTCCGGGTTAGAGTCCCACTCCTTGAAAGCGGCAGCTCTACCCTTTAGCTCAGTGCGGATGTTGCCTGTAATCCATGGCTTCTGGTTGGGGTATGTACGGTCACTGTGGGGACGACGTCATCGATGCACTTATTGATGAAGCCAGTGACTGATGTGGTGTACTCCTCAATGCTATCGGAAGAATCCCGGAACATATTCCAGTCTGTACTAGCAAAACAGTCCTGTAGCTTAGCATCTGCGTCATCTGACCACTTCCTTATTAACCGAGTCACTGGTGCTTCCTGCTTTAGTTTTTGCTTATAAGCAAGAATCAGGAGGATAGAGTTATAATAATAATAATAATAATAGTAATAATAATAATATGCCATTTAGCAGACGCTTTTATCCAAAGCGACTTACAGTCATGTGTGCATACATTTTTACATATGGGTGGTCCCGGGGATCGAACCCACCACCCTGGCGTTACAAGCGCCATGCTCTACCAATTAAGCTACAGAGGACCACATGGTTATGGTCAGATTTGCCAAATGGAGGGTGAGGGAGAGCTTTGTCTGGGTCTGTGTATGGAGTAAAGGTGGTCTAGAGTTTTTTTTCTCCTCTGGTTGCACATTTAACATGCTGGTAGAAATTAGGTAGAACAGATTTAAGTTTCCCTGCATTAAAGTCCCCGGCCACTAGGAGCGCTGCCTCTGGATGAGGGTTTTCCTGTTTACTTATGGCCTTATACAGCTCATTGAGTGCAATCTTAGTGCCAGCATCGGTTTGTGGTGGTAAATAGACAGCTACGAAAAATATAGATGAAAACTCTCTTGGTAAATAGTGTGGTCTACAGCTTATCATGAGATACTCCACCTCAGGCAAGCAAAACCTTGAGACTTCCTTAGTATTAGATTTTATGCACCAGCTGTTGTTTACAAATATACACAGACCGCAACCCCTTATCCAGAAGCTATTTTCGGTCATAAGACACAGTGCCAGAAACATTATGTACAGAATAAATTACAAATAACGCGAAAAAACACACATAAAAAGTACAATTGGTTAGAGGGCTGTAAAACGGCATCCATCTTCTCCGGCACCATTACCTCTATTTTCTGTGACTTTCGATCCATTTCTGCAGTACAATTGACAACGATGGCTATGAATGTCAAGAAACCTACCTTACTGAAGCACATATTCTTCCTATCACTCTCTATTAGTCTCTGCCTATTCACAGGAGGCCTCAGGATCCCTCACCCTGTACCAATCTTCCTCTACCACTCTCTTCACTGCTTCAACATATGATACTTTCTGTACTGCTCGGACCCTAGCAACCTCAACCTGCCTTTCTCTCACCGGGCACCCCCACA